AGACCAGATGACCAATATCGAACAGATCATCTTATATCCAGAAAAGTCTGCATCAGTCTGATTTATGATAGAAGTCCTGAAGAGTAGGTTCCTGCTGGTAAAATGATTGGTCGCACCATGTTTTTTTTAAAAGAATCAGCATTGGGCAAACTTCCTCTGACTGCAGAAAGTGTAGAGTTACTCACAGAAAAGTGATTCTGAAAATCCTTCACAATAAATGGTGATTATTGTGGCTTTAGAAAGTCACCTAGATTGTTTCAATATACTTTCCCAGACTGGTAAAATGCACACCCTTCACTACTAAGGAAGGAAAATCAGAAAATTGAGAAAATTGTTTTTCTTGTTAAATAGAAATGGTTATTAGCACTGCTGTGAGAAAGATTCCCCCCCCCCCCCCCTTCTTCTTAAAAAAAATTTTTTGAAACAGATTTTCTTTCTCAGGTAAGGGAAAAGGTTGTTTCAAATTAAATGAAATGCTTTGTTCTCAGATTACCTAAATCCCCTATAAACACTGGGCAACCTTGACATGAAAAGTCAGAACATTTTATTTAGAAAATACTGAAATTAATATTTTGACATTACTAAAACTAGTTTCCTATTATTTTGGTTTTCCTTTGGCCATAATTTTTAGTTCAGTTTGACCCAAATTAACAAGCCCTTTGGTTTCCTACCATAAATGCATTCTTAGCAAATCTACATTTCAGTGTAGAACTATTACCTAACCGAAGTTACAAGAGCAGCCTGTTCACAGTAGTAGCTGGAGCTGCTACTGTGGTGCAGTCCCATTGCCGCAACAGCGGCCAGCCAGTCGGGAAGGGCAATTAAAACTGAGCTGTGAAGCAAACAAGATAAGCCATAAGGAGTAGAAAGGATCTTCATGGAAAACGGGGTTAGTCTATTGATTAGGAACTCTGGCTGCACAGTCAGCAGTTTTCTCATTCCTGTTTAATATGATTGGAAATTAGGCTGCATCCAGATAACTTAATGGGAAATCACTATCTGAAAAAGAGGCCGAGGTGAAATATTGAAGTTCTCTGGGAAGGTGCAGAGGGATGGTAATCATTCAGTAAAGAGACATAACATTGAATTTAGTTAAGAAAGATGGAATATGCAAATCCAGTACAGATCTGGGCACCTTAGTCAGCTATCAAAAAAATACAATATGCCATTCTCAATCATAGAGCTACCCACCAGCCACTGACACAATGAGGAAGTGGGAAAACAGGACAAACATTTAATAAAGGGCAGAAATTGAAGTGTGCATCCTCATAGCTCTAGCACTGCACTCTGAGAAATGGCAAGAGAGAAACTTTGAAGTAAAAAAAAAAAAAAGGCTTTGATGGGAGTCTGGAAGAGCATACGTACATAAATGTAAACCTCTGTTTCTGAAAACCACCCAGCCACTTCAGGACACTGAAATCTTCTCATTTGTCTAGGACTAAAATACATTTTTCCCCACTATACTCCAAAAAGCAACCAGCCACCTTTACAAGGATAATCATCCTCTACCACTGGCCACCCCCACCTCTTTTTGTTTTACAGCGCGCTCATTTCACATCTACTCAGACACAAACTGAAGGTGCACTGGCCCAGAGAAAACATAAACACTCGAGTCTAGTGGGATGGAGAATGATGTACAAGAGAAACATGCTAGATCCTACTCATCTTCCAGGGTCATTTCTGCATCTTATGCAGCTCTAGGATAAAACACACAAAGCAACCATGGAAGCCCTATGGAGCATTGCCATATGATAGTTTTCGCAAGGTGTCTACCTCTCTGACTGCTCATAAAGCAATATTAGAGAATCATGTGTGCTACACCAGCTAAAAAACCCTTTGCAAGAGCACTAAACTCCGGGCAGCTCCTGAGAGCCAGGACTGAGTTCAGACTCCCTACAAATCCCACACAGACTCGTGGCGATCAGGGCCACAGCTCTTTTTCAGAAGTTGCTCGCTTTGAATATCAACAGGGGTGCCCACAGCATCCTCCTAGCAATTGATGCAACACTGACTGTTATCGGGCCTTGGCTGCCATTATCTACAGCAGTTAGATGGGGCTGTATGAAGGCTACACAGGCAGTGAAATTGGAAAATCCTGAGCCTCTGACCAGAAACTCCTCTCAGAAAATCTTCACCCAATATTTTGAGACGCTGATCACAAACAAGCAACGTCTTGTAGTCAGACACTCCAACAAGAAGTGTAATTCAGGGTATAATCTTTCCTTGTAAAGAAAGGAGAGTTGATCAGTTGGTATGCTTTAGGCAACTAACTGATTTTTTTTTATAATTTTATTTTTTTAAAAAGGAAATCCAGCATATTTAAGAATAGCAAACTTACTAATTAAGCTGCTAATCTTATTTCTATTCTTAATTAAAAAAAAGAAGTAGGAGAGAGAAGTCTGTGCTTACGTACAGTGGTGCAGGCACGATTAGAAATTACGCAGAAAGAACCAATTCAGAAAACAGGCACAAAGCAAAAAAGAATATTCTCTCTAGCACTGAAATGAAAGCCAGTGAGCCCTCATTCATGCAAACAGGATCAAATTTGGTCCATATTGTACAACTGCAACATGTCCTCCATCCAAAACATGAGCAAAGAGCAAGTTAGCTGGTTAACCACTACTGCCAGGTACTACTGTCGGTCCCTAAAACAACAACAGCAGAAGAACATCTAAATTGGATGCAGCAGCATTTGTCAAACTGTAGTCAGATATCTTTATGATGTCACTTTTAGAAATACTACTTTCAGAACTGGAATGACAGTGATAGCTTTGAACATGCTGCCATTAATATTTTCAGACCAGCATCAACCTTGCTCAAAGGCAGCACAGTTTTCAGGACAAGCGTGTGTCTTTTCTAAAAGGTACATCAATAGCAGCCTGTAGGGAAACTAATGTTTAAAAAGGGTTTAAATGAAGAGTGCCAAACCTGATGGAGCAGCATGGAAACATAACAGAAAGGTATGGCTAGGTGCTCTCGTGCTGGGAAGGGAGAAGAGATGGAAGGTGAAAAGGGGGAGGATGGATTTCAAAAATGATGCTATGTCATACAGGAGCCATAAAATATTACTATGGGAAAGGCAAAGAAAATTAAAGGCCAACAGCAGTCTTGGAAGATTCAGCAGTAAAGCAAGCCAAAGGATTCTGTACCTTGGCTGATGAAGCAACTGAAAATGCCTTTGAATGCAGCTTGCGCATGGATTGCTAGAAGAAGCTCAAGAAGCTCTAATTTTTTTTTCCTTTTTCAGAGAAAACATCCAACCTCCTTCCACTCCACTAATCCCATCACAAGGAAATCACTCTATTTTCTAAACTGATCTATGTTCAGTATAAACAAATTCTGTGTGCCACCATCTTCAGAACTCAACTGCAGTTCATCCTTGTTGTTGCCACTTTGTATTTTCATGAAGAAACAGAACAGAGAAGAAAAACAAAAATATTTTCATGCTCATCATTTAGGTAAAAACCAAAAGAAACAAAACAAAACGGAAAAACCCCAAACCTATTTTTTTTTTTTCCTTTCTGCTACATAGGTTCTGAACAAAAATTAAGACACAACCCTCCCCGGCTTCCACCATCTTATTTCAGCTACAATTTACCAAACTGTAAAAGTTGGAAAACAAGGAAGGTAAGGGGGAAACCGGAATATCTGAAAGATCACAGGACATATTTCATTCTGTATCCCCCCTTCCCTCAAGAGTTTATCACCTCTCAGAGATGTGTCTAACCTAAAGGCATTAATTGTTTCTAACTGCCAGAACTGTCACTCATTCATAACATGTTAGCACACAGGACTTTTTTTAACAACTCCTGCTACACATAATTTCATTTTTGATGCATACTTTCATTTTTGTTTTAAATTCTAAATTATTTCCAAGAAATGATATGAAGGGTGAGTACTTCACCTGTGGAAATTTTTTTTTTTATTATTATTTTTATTTTTTAAAAAGTCACACGAACAGCTGGACTACAACTCAAACACCAACTAAAAAAACCCAAACCCTAAATACTAGTAATTAGTACAGGGAATGGCTTATACATTCCTTATTAGCAAAACATACCCTCCCGTCCCACTCCACCCCCAAAATGAAGAATTTTCTACTTTTAAACAGATAAACCAGAACTATCATTTATGTAATAGCAAATATGCAAACCAGAATACCTTTCACTTACATGTCTGGATTTGCTGCCTTTTGTTTAGTAATATAAACACACACACCAACTGTTAACAGATAACATGCAGATTTGTAAGTTACCATTAACGGCTCAGTAGTCCTATTCAATAAGAAAGGGATTGCGTATCTGAAAAACCTGTTGCCTTTAAAAATGAATAAAATTAGTAACACAGTAATCTTCAGTGCATGGCATTTGCATAAAATTAAATATGGGCCCAATCAAGGCAACTCTATATTCACACGAGCGGTCCTGTTCAAGTAACCAGCATCACTTGCATAAGTAATATCCCGTAGTTTGCATTTAAAATTAAGGCATCTTAATTTGGTTGGTTGGTTGTACAACAAATAACTGATACACCTTTTGATTTATGCCTGTTGGAACACTTCTGCTAAATCTATAAGCTTCAGACTGCCTTAATAACAACTTGTAATTAAAATAACACAGACAACCTTTTCCTCGGTAAATGTTTTACCCCATCACTTGAAGATCGATTTGGAAGTCACTTTATTGTGTAGCTTTTGTCAAAGCCTTTTTTTCCCCTAAAACAATAATCCAGTAAAAACAAATAAAAACAAGAAACAAAACCACTATTTCATGCCTTTATAACTGTATGTTTCCATTCCAGTAATAACTTGAATTTGTGCTTTTAACTCACTTAGGAAATGCCATCATCATAAACTGCACATTGCTCAGGACTCTTTAACTACTTAATTAGCTGCTAAAACACTGTGAAGGAGCTGACGTCGTATTAGAAGAGAAGCAAAATGAGCCAAACCCCACGCATCCCCAACCCTCTTACTCACAAGCGTTTGTGTAAGCCCTTACCTGCTGGGTAACGTTCAATAACTGGCCAGTTGTCCACCTGTAACGTGGCATTGCCACCACTTCTTGTGAAACGTACTACATGGTATTTTCCATCATTAATGATTGCGTTGATCTCTTCAATAGAGATGTCATCAGTTCCAACATTAAACTTAACTCCAATTTTTCCCTGGTGCTGCATATTTAAAAAAAAAAAAGGAAGAAAAAGAGGAAGAAGAAAAAGAAGAACTAATTAAGAGTTGTTTTAGCAAGAAATAGAGACAGTGTGTCATACAGGGAAAGATTTCTAACAACATCTTCCCTCCTTAGATGTAACTTCTGAAGGCTTGCATGTAGCAGTGACAAGCCTCCTGACAGCTCAGTAAGTCCAGGATGTCTCTTTGATGGATAATTGATATTCCAAATGAGTTGTTTCACCAAATTGAGTTCTCTCCTTTTCTAAGAGATTCAGACCAAGATGAGGAGGGGGGAAGGAGGAGGAAAGCTCAAGTTTTCTTTCTTCATCCCCTCCCTCACCTCCATGAGGATTAAACACCATTTTTCCTTTTAGGCTTTCAAAGTGGAAAGCCTTGCAGTGTCACTTGGAAGAGGTATGAGGATTTTCTGGCTATAAAAGCCAAGGCCCAGCCCTGTCTCTCCTTTCTCCAAACCTCATTCATACTCAGAGTCTTCACAATTGATAACAAAGGAGGAAACTTTTATTTTTCTCTAATAGAGATATTTTTTTCATCACGCTGTAGTAGCTCCGAATCATTAAAACAAGAACAGACCAATTGACTAACAAGGAATTTCCTGATCAGAGCCAGAGAGAGGGGCAGAAAGGCATTTGTGACACAGGGACAGCATCTTGTTCCCACTAAGGACTGAGACTCTGATATTTTTGCTGGGATTTGCCTGTAAGCTCCTGTGCCTGAGCGCGCCTAGGGCTAAGGGGACTTCACATGCACATTCATACTCAGGACCAAGGCTGTAGATTTTCCAGATGATTGCGATATTAGCATGTTTTCATTTTTATTGTCTTTTAATTATTAATACATTCACTCTAATGGGACATTTTATTTTTAACATTACATTTTAACAAAGTCTTTTAATGTCTACTAAAAGTTTAACTTAAGGGCTTCATGATATTTTTTTTTCTCCTATAAAATCAATTCTATTCCTGAATAAGGACACTTATTACATAAAGGAGAAAAAAAGCAAAGCACTGCACAGTATGAGATTAGGGGATTGTGCATAATAAGTGGCAATTCTATGTGAAATTTATTGTCATTGGTACTGGTACATCCTTCCTAAGAGTCAAAAAAAATTCTTTAAGTTTTTACACTACCAGATGAAACACAATGAAACATTTCACTTTGTACCTCTTGGTCATTCACGTCAATCTTTCCAGAACCAGCTTCACCTCTCCCACGTAGCTTTTGTGTCTGCTCCCTCCTTCTCTTACTACCCCGGCACCACTCTCTGTAAGTAAGTGTATCCTGCAGCTCCTCGTCTCTGGAAGTCTCCCAAGTGAAGAACTCAGGAGTTCTTCCACTTTATTTTACTCTCTTTTTAAATACCTGACTTCATTTTCCAATAGTGCTTGCGTATTCCAGTTACACAGTTGAGCAGCTGCTGAACACCTTTGGAGAAAGTCCCTCAACGCTTTGGCACTACACCATCACCTCTCCAGGTATGATCTTTTTTAAAACAGTAAAAGGACCATTCCCTGCTGAGATTTGCAGAATGACTCTGAAAAAGTATTTTTTTATTTGCTCAGTTGCTTAAATCATGTTCTAAACATTCCTTTTTTTCCTTGCAGATTGTTTTAACATTTCTCTATTGGTTAATCCTAATTTTCCATGCCTATAGGGTGTCAATAAGGGATCCCTCTCATCCAGCACATGCTCACCTTCTTTTGCCTCTCGTGTGAGTTGCAGAGCAATCTCCCAGTAACTGTAGGTCTATTTTATTTCAACTGGTTTAACTATGACTCAGAATAGATTTCACCCATTTTCTCCCATAGATGCAGTAGCTTATTTGCTTCACCTGTTTCATTCATATGCTTACTCTCTTTATACAGAAATGTGTACAAAGGAATATAACATTGTCCTGGCTCTAAAGCAATCTCCTCTTTTACTAATTTATGAAATGCAGAAAAACAGCATGTAATGATAATGGCATATGCACCTTTTCACAATACTTTCAAGAAGTCAAAGGCTTTGAGGACTAAAAAAAGCTGACTAATTTTACTGTGATTCATAATTATACTATTCATAACCTACACTTTACATACCTGCTTTCCTATTTGCTATATATATGTATATACATATATTATTTTAGATCAAAAAACGACAAGGAAAAAAACCACCTTTGAGTGACTAGGACAGGTGCAGGCAAAATGAAGTGGCATAAAAGGCAAATATATCAGCAGCTTTTCCAAAATAAGAGAATGTGGTGCTGCAATGGTTACCAAGTTACCATTTGTAAATGGCCAGGTATTGGCAAGTGAAATGAAAGCTTTACAGACTTAAAGGCAGACCTTTAGCCTTACTTGATGCATATATATACTTTTTAGCGAAAAAACCAAGTTTCCCTGACTTCCCTACATTCGTACAGAAGTACTGTGCACAGACACCAAGCACACAGCTGTAATAGCAAAGAATATCACCCTAATAGTTGATAACATACAATAGTGATTTTTTTTGGCTCTATTTCTAATATATTTGTGTAGCTGAGAACATTAAAAACTCCATATTTAAAGGATACGTTTCAATTTTTCACACTTCTTCAGCACCTGTGGGCATTTATGTAACCTCCCATAAAAGAACGAAGCAAATCTGGGTTTCGAGTTTAAAGTCTTCCTTATTCTTATATCCATATTTAAGTTTGACTTCTGAATATCACGCTAAACATGATATGGACTACAACCCCATTGTGTACAGCCCTTTAGAACCACAAAATAAAATATAATGCAAAGACCTGACAGTACATGGGCCCAGACAGATGATGACACTACCACAAAGCAGTAAGTCACCATGTATCAGCTGAGTTGCAATAAGCACCTCTGTATGTAGATAGCGGTTTTTTTAAGCCCTTGCATAATCATGCAGTAGTTTGACTCACTGTACTCCTCCTTCACTGCAAGATAATGTAAGTCACATTATATTTCATCTGTCATTGGTTAAGACCATGTGCACATACAGTTATTTTGGTTCAGCTGATGTACAGTAACCTGTTGAGATAATTTGATCTCAGCCCTCAGCCCTGTGATGCTTAATATAATGGGCCTGTAGCCTGTTAGGAAGAACTGCTTTTTATTTTTCCTTCTCCTTCTTTTTGCAGCAACATGGTAGTGCAGAAAGGGAAGAGACTGATAAAACTGAAGCAACACTAAATTACTATTTCTGCTTTGCCAGTCTCAGTTGCATAGTGCAGCAGTAGTAGAACTTTTCCGTTATCACTTGTTCATTCATAATAATCTTAAAGTTATTTTTCCTATCAGAAACGGCCTCAGACAAATGTTGAATGAGAGGTTCCCTTTTCAGCACCCTGATGATAGGCACTATAGAAATGTCAATGCATTACTAAGTACAGGAATAAGTCAACATTACTGTTGAATGATGTTATCCTTGCCAGTGACCTGGCACAGCATTTCAGGCTCATATTTCTGGGAGGTTATGTTTGCCCCCTAGAAAAGATGATAATTTCAGAGCTCCTCTGGTAAAAATCAGCTCTGTACACAGGGCCCGTAGAAGTCCACCATGCTGTTTATGGTTTTTAGCCAGTGTTTTTTTTTTTTCTCAATCTCACCCAGTTGTGAGAGAACATAGCAATGAAATAAATTCCTTTTCCTACTGTGCCTTTATCTAATCTGAACTGGGGAGGCCACAATAACAGAGTAGAGACATGTAGGAGATGGGAGAGTCTCCAATATTATTTCCAAGAGAGGCCAGAAGAGAGGACACACCTTCAGGAGAAGAGTGAAGCATTTCAAGAAGTAGTGTAAATGTTGTTCTCTGTCTCTGGAAATTATTTTGAACTTCAAATCAGAAGGTGCTATGAATACTGCTACAACCATCACATCACCACCACCGCTCCCTGGGACAAAGCCGTGCAGGGACCTGTGATTCACCTACAGACAAGCTACCTGACACTCTGAGCCCCAACCAGCAGCTCTTCAGAAAAGCTAAACTTTTGGTTTGGAGGTGCTTTGGCCATGTAGCTCTCCTGTTTCTGAGGCCAGGGTGACTTTCTCTCCACAGTACCACACAGGCAGATAAGCTCATTTAGTGTTACCTAACGTACCCCTACACGTTACTGCAACGTGCAGTGTAGGCTTTGCCTACAGTTTAACCTCTGCTGTCCAGCCACTTGTAGGAGTCCAAGCTCACAAGGTAAGGATAAATATGTTAATGCCTTCAAAGCAGTTGGATAAAAGCATGAGATATACATGTTTAGCTCCAACCCTACGTTCCTAATGTGCTCTGAAACGCTAGGAGTTTTGATTGTTCAGACAGTATAGGCGTGTGTGCATTGCATGCATATGTACCAATCATTTCAAAACATTTTGTCTTCAAAAGCACTGGCAGCTACTATTGTAATCTAGCAACTCCAGGGGATTATTTTCAAGCATGTTTTATGAATTGTGTACTCTAAATACTTCTACCTTGGCTTTAGCAGGCTTCTGATGAAGCACCGAGAACGCTGATGAACCCAAGAACCAAGTGAGAAATGTGAAATGCCAATCAAGCCAACAGCTGACAGTACAATTTGTTCCCTGTTGGACCCTAGTCCAGTGCTACTGATCTGCCGACTCCAAATGCTGTAAAACCTATGCTAGTATAAAATATATATATATATATGTATCTCCAGAATAATGATATTTCCTATAGCATCAGCAAGGTTTTACTGCTCTCTGTAGTAATAATTCTGGAATCAGTCTAACATGAGTGTGTGCAAAATTGGCACAACAGTAGTTTTAGAAAAGACCACAGACAACCTAAGCTCATAATACTTACAACCTTTAACCATTTCCAAAGAAAAGTAATAAAATTGTGACTCCCACAGGTGAACAAATAGAGAAAGAAAAAAAAAAACCCAAGCATACCAGCTTGCATTTTATAGTGTCAGTCCCTGAGGCACAACTTTCTGGTGAATACAATAACAAAGTCTTAGAAGTAACTGATGGTTGAC